TTCAGACATTATCTAATTCATTCGACTACCTAACCCTAATAATCGACTTTATCTTAATACCTTCATCATGCAAGAAATAATGAAGGTAGCATATCATCGTTGATAATTATTTCTGCGGACTTTGCAAGGTTTTGCGACAATGTAGGAGAACATGTGTCTCCCTGGGTCATATACAAGTTTGAAAACAAATATATATATATATAACATATTTCTTGACGTTCACTCAATTCATATCACTTGATAATATTAATTTCAAACTCACTGGCTTTTATACATTTCAAGATTTCATATCACAGGTAGAGTAGAGAAGGTATAATTGTGAAATGTAAAATGAAAGATTTTATGACTCTATCCTCAAAGTTCCTATATAAATTGTCGAAACTTAATTAACTTAAACCTACGATACAAAAAATTTATGGTGCAAAAATTCAAGCAACATAAAACCCCGTCATACAACGATTGGATTATATACAATAAATTTAAGTAATGCTCTCAGTGTAATGACAGCCCAGGGCAAAAATCTGAACTGGGCGAGGATTTTTATTAGAGCGTAATTGAGAAAGTTTAATGAATGTTCCATAATTAGGCATTGTTTTAATCTTTAATCGACAAAGAATCTGGAAAGGTATTTATTTTTCTTGTTATTTCTTTGAGAAATAATTGCAGAAAAAGATAAATTAGCACCGCAATAAATGTAATTAAACGATATTTAATAATGAATTATGAAAAAATTGGGGTTTATTAGCGTTAAAAGGAGCTTTAAATAGCATTCGCTCTTGGAAAAAATTCTTTTACATTCATATAATTATATTCACTCAAAACAAATATAAAACATTTGATTCAAATTGTTTCTTATAAAAATGATTACAAGAATTGGTAACGTCTTGTTTCACTTGCGTTGCCCGATTTTGTTTAACCCGTATAAAATTTTATTTTTCTTGTTTAATGTTCATTAATTTTACTTGACACTAAATTGCTTATAAAATATGAAATTTAATCAATTTAATATGCAGTGGATTTCATATAATAGGTATTTTATTTTCAAAATTTAATTATTACTGCGTTGAAAAAAAAACAAAGGTATTAAAGCACATCTGCTTAAAAAATATGAATATATAATTAATGTTTCAATGAGTAAAAATACATAACAATACCCGCACAAATAATGTCACAAATGATTAAAATGTTAATAAAGAAATTATAATGGAAATTAATCGTATTTCTACCTTGAAAATCATTACTGGTGATTGAAATTATTAACTAGTGGTGCATGGCATGATGACTTAATAGCTGGAACATTCCGTACCATAAAATATTGATTTTTTTTTTAAATTATGAATCGCACTGCGTAGCTGCTTTAGAAACAACATATTGAAGCGCGTAAGCGCCGCATCTTTCATCTTTGTTAGTAATAAGTTCAACGGTATAAAACCTGATACGAAGCCCATAAAAATGTAAACAAAACTTGTACTTCTATTAAAATCTTCATGAAATATTTGATAATTTGAAGTGCATATGTCGAATGATCATTTTTGACCGCTAAATGCCTTTTTTTACTTTTTTATTTGGTCTGGGCCTGTTTTCCAAAAATTTAGTCAAATATTTAATCCGTCAATGCAAGTAAAATAATTTTTGAATCATTCACGTGAAACATACGCTCCGTTCTCTCGAAACCTGATTTGCCATTTTTACGCTTTTTGTCCCGTACCTTCAAAGCTTTTGGACCTGCCTCTGCTAAAAACTAATCAGCACTAGACGTTATTAGGAATCAATTAACTCATTAATGTGAATCAATTTTTTTCATTATTTCAAATTGGTTAATCAGTGCTCTAGAAATCGTCGTATAAATTTTGTATCCGCACATACATACATACTGCACACACATACATCCATTTTCTGTAAGGTATACCAAAAATTCATGAAAATGCTATTACAAAATACTTTCATGTATCAAATCTAAATATAGTAGGTACACTCAATCAACAGAGTTACAATATTTTTTTCCCTAAAAAACTATTAATGGCATCACAGTTAAACAAAATTAAATTTAAACTCACCTGGCTGTATGTAGTATGGGGTGGGGACTGGGGAGGGTGCTGCTGTAATGGTATTTCTACCTGCTCCATACGCGCATATTTTATCATTTTAATCTGATAACCCGTTCGACCCCGAGGCTACGCTGGCTATTTCACGCCCGCCGTAATTGTGGTGTCACGTTTAAAAAAAATACGACCGGAGTCAGCCAGACAGACCGTAGTAGTAATACGACCTCGTGTATCTAAGACTCGGAATAGACATTGTATTGAATTAGCAGCTATTAACATATTAAAAAAATCATTACAATGGTTAAATTTTATTGTATTTATCTATTTAGTTAATGGCAATAAAGGTACCACGGAAGCTTCTAATGTTTGAAACTATTTTTTTTTATAATGCCCATCTTATTATTTTATTTTATATTCTTTAAATTTTATTTTAAAGATATTGCCCACAGAATAGTTCCAAGAGGACTTGAAAATACAATTATTATACATATACTTAGTATGGATAATATGTAGTATAATACATAGAGTACTTGAAAACACAAAATAGCATAATGAATGAATTGTAACAGTTTTATTAAATTACATAGAATAAGATTAAATAATAAAAGATATTTGAAAAAAAAATAACTAAAAAAGTTAACTTAAATAGATAGAGATTATTTGATTCATCGTGTTATGAATATCAATGTCATTGTTAATTAAGTTAAAGTTAGAGGACATAAGTAGAATAGGTGAATTTAAGAGATAATTAGAGATAATTAGATTTAGGAGCAAAATAATTGTGAACGCGAATTGGGAACATTAAAGGATAGTCGGTTAAGAACTTACTTATGTGGAACTTAAATTATGCATTGCATTGGAATTAGCAGCTGTTAACTAAATATGAAAAATCTTTCATATTAACAAAAAGCCAAGTCATATTTTATTATTTTTGTCTTAATGAATTATTAATTACTGATATATGTATTTGATTGCTCTTTGCTCCACAATTAAAAAAATAACAGTGCAAATGCATGTATTTATAGGTTTCTGAAAATGCCCAAGTATGCTGTGATTCGTAGAAGATTATCATCAAAATAATTTGAAATCAATTTTACTACATTCTTTATTTGTCGGCCTTCACATCATCCAGAGAATAAGTCTTTAAATAAAAATGCATTGAATTAGAAAAAATCTTATCAGTTTTAAATCAGGCACAAAGGCGAATAATACTGCAAGTATGCATACTTTACTTCTATTCTCATAATCAGATTAATTGTCTTATTTTTATCTAATAAAACAATCAATCACTGATATGTGCGTTTGATTATAATGAAATTTAAAAAAAAATTCAATGAAAGTTGTTTGCGGTTTATCCAATATTATCAAAACTTTAACAAAAAATTTACTACATTTTGGAGTTGCTGTTTTTAGTTCATATTTCAAAATTTCGAAGTATATATATATTTTTTAATTAGAAGCTATTAATAGCATATCAAATACAATAATAATTACTCTCAGTAATTAAGTGATTAATTATTTTATTAGATAAAAGTAATTAATATTTGTTTATCTATTACTCTCCTGCATTCTCATTTTGCGTTTTCTTTGGTACTGGTTGATCTAAACTAACAAATTTTCTTACGTATATTTTTTTAAATATAAATTATATATTCGAGAAGTAATTAATTTATTAAAAAATTGCTAAATATTATTTATAATTCCACATATTATAATTTGAGAGACGGAAAAGCTCATGAAAGTAGCGATTCGAGTTTCTGAGCTTTTGCTCTTGGCATCTTTCGTGGCGTTTAGATTGTGGAAGCCATTCTGGAATTCTATGCGAAAACTTTCATAATTTATCTAAATAGCACACATCAAGATTTTCATGCGAACGTACTTGAATGTTGTCATGCATTTTGAGACAAAGAAGGAACTGGTTCTCTTCAATATATTTTTTATTTTGCTAATTTAGGGAGTATATACACGAATATATATATATATATATATATATATATATGTTTAATTTGAGTTTAATATTCGGGCGTAACATCAATAAAAATAGTATGAGTTTTTTTTAAATTTATTTATTTAAAATCCATACGTTTCGGCTAGCATCTTAGCCATCATTCAGTGGTAATCAAGTTAACTATAAAAATTGGAAAATAAAAAACTATAAATTTAAAAAAAACTCATACTATTTTTATTGATGTTACGCCCGAATATTAAACTCAAATTAAACATATATATCAACATCAAATTCAAGAATATTCAAAAATATATATATATATATATGTATATATATAGAATAAAGTAAAGCGCAGATTTCAGTTGCAATAATTATTATTACCCAGGCGCAACATCTAACTGTAAGTCTTGCGGACGTTAATGTATTTTTTCGCTATATAACTAAAAGGGCATAATTATATATATTTCATTGTAATTATTTTTTACTAAACAAATCTCAATACACCTATAAGGAGGATATCCTATTTTAGGGTATGAATAGGTAGAGTCCTCTCATTGTAGAGCTTGATATTTTCAAGATAATATTCAAACCTCGCATAAATACGATTGCCCTTTTCATCGTGATATTATAAATTTAAATATTTTTCAATGCATTATGCATTATTAATAGCAATCATTACATTGTGTGCAGTATTCATTATTATTAACAAATAATATTAAATTTGTTTATGAAAAAAACCTTTTGTGAACGAAATAAATTTATTTACTTCTATTATATAATATATTGCTTATTAAAGAAAACTGCAATTAAGATATGATGTACAATTAAAATTATCATGCGTTGCATTTATTTATAATAATTATCTAATTCATTCGAAGCACATAGATGCTATAAAAAATATGAATAATCAATATGTACCTAATATACTATTAAGCTCTTGTTGTTAAAATTTAGACACATAATGATTCATATAACTATAAAATCTTAATTTACTTTAATCTCATGTGATAGATAAACAATTTTCAGAAAATAAAGTAAAATACCTAAATTTCAATTTTAGATATAAATAAATATAAAAACACTGATTCAAACATCCCTCATTAAAATCACAATAAATATTATTTTAATTTATTTATGATCAGCCAGTCTTGTTAGTTATTTATCATCGTTAGTCAAATATTATTTAAAATTCGTGCTTTTGTTTACTTTTTAATTCCATTGAGATATGAAATTAAAATTTTATAAACAATTATCACAATCACAGTAATTCCACAAATAACTCTAAAAATTGCACCATAGCGTCATTTCTTATCAGTTAACGGGACATATATCACACCCATTAAAGATTTTCTCTGTATGGTTCCATCAGCCTTTTTGTCAATCTATTGAGGACATGAATTATTTAAAATGTAATATTTGCATAATACAGATTGAAATCAATAAATGGCACATAACAAAATTTATAACATATTCATGTATTTGCTAGAATAGAATTGCCTTCGATATTCACCTGATCTAGAGTTTGTTCACCACCTGCTGGTCCTACAGGAACCACCATTCTACCACCTGGTTTCAATTGATCTATTAACTAATAAAGGATTCTTTAAAATAATTTTTATCCAGTCATTGGATTTTAATCTAGTGAATACTTACTGCTTGCGGTAATGTGGCAGCAGCTGCTCCTACATGAATTGCATTATAAGGCGCACACTCTTCATAACCAAGTCGTCCATCTCCAGCTGAAAATAATTTTCAATATTCAACATCTAGCATTGGTTAAGAAATGTAACTTTTACTGGAGACTTACTGACTAAAATAATATGCCGATCTGTTAAAAGACTAGGGTCATCTTGTTCTATATTTTGTCTTGCCATTTCAGTTAAACCTGGTTCATGATCTATACCGACAACCACTCCTTTTGCACTTTGTTCAGTTTCATCTTGCATTTTCATTCTTGCAAAACATGATGTTAAATAACCACTTCCTGAACCAACGTCTAATACATTTTCTCCGGCTTTTATGAATGGACTGAGGATTTCTAATGCATGAGCATGCTGTTACATATAATCATTTGTAAATTTTTTAAATTGTAAAAAATGTATGTAAATACATACAATAAAAAAAAAATCGGTAACAAATATTTCACTTAAAATAAAAAAATATACGAAATTAAGATTGCACCAGCTATTCATTTATATGTGTGTGGAAATATTTAGATAAACAAAAGCACCAAATGCAAAGAAATAGTTACGATTACAATGTAATCGATGAAAAATAGGTGTTGCAACGTGTTATCAAAAGTGAGAAGAAAGAAATTAAGATATAACATCAGAAATATGATGAACTGAATGAAAAAAATGTTTTTTTGGGAAATATGTTAACGATTATGTTATATTGCATGAATTCTTCAACCAATAAATATGATACTTCTAATAAAAAGCTCCTTAAAGCATTTCTAACTATTAAATTACCATGTGTGGAGCGCTTATTGTTACACCGTATCCAATTCCTTGTGGAGCATCCATGTAAGGAGTCTTCGGGGAATAAAATCCTCGATCTGTGCCTAACATAGCTCTTTCTACACCACTACTTCGAATAATATTGTTAGCTACAATTAAAGTTTATAAATAGAATCATCAAATACCAATAAAATTGAACAAATTTTTACCTTTTAAATGTCGAACCATGTCAGCATTATTTATTCCGTGAGAACGCCAGGCCATATTCCTAATACTATTACCTATTTTATAAATTTTGTATGTTAACGATTTCTAAAAAATTAAAATAATTAAAATTGCTTTGCAGTAATTACATCAAAGTTTATTTTGACACTTTTGAACTGTCAAAATTACCATTTCCTCAGGAGAGCCTTCAGAGACATCTTTGTACAATTTATATGAACTAAAGTAACCGTTTTAATTTGAATTAATAAAATACTTGTAAAATTCTCTATAATTAACAAATTAATAAATAACATAACAAACGAAAATCTCATGAAAATATTAGATATTAAATTTTAAACTGATTATTTATTTTAAATGATGTTTGATTGTGACTCAAGCAATTACTGTAGTGTTAATTAATTTCACAAACGTTTATTATTTAAGTATACAAACTTTCACCTATTTATATAAATCATACCATACCAAGATGTTTTGCTTAGTATACTTTTGCATCTGTATCCACGGACATCTTTGTATATTTAAAGAAAAGTATGTCAAGAAAAGTGAATCAATTTTTGTTCTCCTTAGTTGTAGTATTTACAATAATTGTGGATAATAGTTTTGCCAGTAGGTACTTTGTGCAACAATCTAGAGAATATGTTTTACCTAATCCATTTGTGAGACAAGTACGTTATTATCGTGGTAATCCAATATACTCCACCCAAAGAATCCAATATCCACATTCACAACCATTGTATATTGGAAATTATGCAGAACCATTATATCAACCTGGATATCGTACAGCTTTAATCCACAACTATCCTGATACTGGATATAGTCAAGATGATTACCTGCCACCTGCGGATTATGATGATGGCCCGTATCCGGGAAGATTCTATGACTCCTATGCACCACCGGATACACATTATGGACCTCCTCAGCCCGAAAGTCCACCTGAAGAACCAACCACTACAGTTGCCCCAGTGATGGCTACACCTTGCACATGCCATCCTTTAACTCCATCACAACCTCTGCCAGAAGGAGCACCTGAAGACATGCATTTACCACCGGAGTTAGTATACACTACAGAAGCTGAGGAAACTACCACGGAAGCAGTTACTACGACAACGGAACCTACTACTACAACAGTAGCAACCACGACAACAGAAAAACCTAAAAATACGTATCTTCCACCTGCTCCTCCAACAGAAGCTCCAGTTCCGTCAAATACATATCTGCCAGCGGCGGTGGAACCGAGAATACCTATGATGATGATACAAGGACCTACACCTTTACCTGATGAAGAAGAACATGGTTATGTCTACCCTGTACCGCATCCAGTATTTCCCCCAGAAGAACCAGAAACAACCACTACTGAAGAGCCTTCTCCACCAGAAGTTGAAAAACCGGAACCAGTTGCTCCAGTGGCACCGCCACAGTTTGTAGGAGGATACCAACCAATATTTCTGATACCGTTTTATCCACAATCTGGATTTTCTTTTTATGGAAATCCTTTACAAATGCAATTAACAAATTACCCACAAATAATTCAAGCACCTGTCGAGCAAAATGGTGGACAGGGGGTCGTGATTTCTATTCCTAGTAAAACCTATTTACCGCCGAAAGAGTAAATCTAACTATGTGAGAGTATTTTTATATTTGTTGAAAGTTTATGATTGCTGATCAGTAGTCATTGAAATATTTTGGAATAGACTGAAACGTTAATTTTTAGATAATCGTCAAATAATGTTAGAGTTTTATTTTGTTATAGGGGCTACGATTGACCCCAGCGTGTTAATCATGTATTAACAATGCATACTACAGATTTTTTTTATCGAATTTAAAGTTTATCTATCTGTATTACAAAAAGATAAGGTACAATAATAAAATTTTGTCATTATCAGTATCAAATTTTCAGTTCAATCAATATTGTGATAAAGTATTTTTAAGCGTCATTTATGTCAAAATGAAATACGGAATATTATTTATATTTTTTTGCTGTGTATTAAAGGCAAATGGTAATAAAATATTAAAAATGGTTAAACATATTTTTATTTAATAAAATTTTAATTTTAGCTTTAAAATGTTACACGTGCTCCATGGTCGGAAATAATAAAGAAGATGCTTGTTATAAGGACCCAGAACATGCTGGTGGTACTGCTGTTACAAATTGCAAATATAAATATTGTACTATAATCAGACAAGAAAAAAGGGTAATAAATTAATTTTATTTTATTATTTATATATTTAAAAAAAAAAAAGATCTGCGGATTGTATTGATATGCAAGCTACAAGAAAATTCTGCAGTTAAATTTAAAATTTCCAAAAATTGCATTTATAAATAAACCACTACCAATATTTATACAAGTATCGAATTTGCAGTTAAATTAATAAAAAAACATACATTTGCGAAAATATATATGGTATCGTATAAAAACGCTAACCACACATTGTATTGTACATTTAAATGTAAAATGATTAAAAATTGCATTTATAAATAATTTTTAAGTCAATATATATTGTACCAATTAAATTTAATGTTATTATTAAAATTATCAAAAAAATTTTGTTTCAAATATATTTAAAAAGAATCTTTTATATTTAAGGAACCTAGAGGAGAAATCGCGACGTTCCTGAGAGGTTGTGAAGATAATCCTGCGGTAATATAATATTTTATTATTAATTAATTAATTAAAATTAAAACCCTTTCCACTCGGGAATTGCGAGATTAATATGTATTTTGTTGCGGCGGCATCCGAGTAGAAAGGGTTAACTTTCCGGACAAGATCTTTATGTTTTTATGAGAAAATCCGATTAGCTAATTTTATGTATTTGCGACACTTTAAGTCATTCTGAATCGTTTGACTGAATCGTTTGACTAAAATTAGGAAAAGGGTGTGCGTAACAAAATTTTGACTTTCATCGACGTTTTCTCAAAAACGGCTGAACCGATTTAATACAAAAATTAAAATTTGAGATTTCGTAATAGCAGAGAACCTCAAAACTTTTCGTCAACGTTTTTTCCAAAAATCCTGGACAGATCTATAAATCGTTAGAATAATTTTATTTGGAGATCGTATTGATTAATTTTTGATCAAGATCGTCTGGGCCAATATAGATAATACAAATACAGATATATATTTGTTTGAAATATTAATTGGAAAAATAGAACGGCTAAAACTTTATTTAAAAATCTATGGATAGTTAAGATATCTTTGAACATTTGAAAAAATGAAACGGCTAAAATTTTGTTTAAAAATCCATGGATAGATCTTTGAATATTTCATAAAAATAAAACGGCCAAAACTGTTTAAAAATATCATGGATATTTGGATTATTGAATAGTTTTTTGTGAAAAGCAAAAATTTTGTTTTTGAAATAATCAGTTAAAAATTTCGCCCGAACAGCTCAATCTTAATTTTTATTGATTTATTCGATTATTTACTGGTATCAGAAAATTAATGGAAGTTGCCTTAGGGCAAAATACCTCTAACAACTAGCTTGTTTTAGAATGCATACTATATTATATATATTTCTATGAAAAATCAAATTAATAGATTTCTATAGTATATAATCTAAGATGTTTATTAATTTTGCTGACAACGATATTTTGATCGCAAAAGTAGTACAATGACATTGGCGGAATTGTGAAATGTGCTAACTGCAAACAAGTCTATATACGTGCATGTTAATAATTAACAAATTTCAAAACCTGTGATAATTTTCCGTTACAGTTTGGGAACGAGCAAGTGGAGGACTGGTCTCATATTACGTATTTTCGAAAATGCTCAGAACCTTTATGCAATAGTGGTAATATAATTTGTACACATTCATTACAAAAATAATTAGTTGTATATTTAGTTTTTATCTATAGAAGAGTCATGCTCAAAAGGTTATCACTAAAAGCTATAACTATCTTATCTGAACGAATTAATAGATTATTTTTTCATAATCCGGGCTTTAAAAATGCTTAGCACTTGAAAATAAACATGATTTTTTAATAATATACTTTAATTCAAGTTATTGAATTTTACTTTGGATTAAAAATAATAATTAGGGAATATTGCATATTCATAATTATTTATTTATTACAAAGCCCCCACACACACACACACACACACACACACACACATATATATATATATATATATATATATATATATATATATATATATATATATATATATATATATATATATATATATATATGAATATAAAGTACTTATACCTTAAACTATTATTTTGACTTCAATAATTACATATTCCATATATTACATATTAAATAAATAAAAAGCTGATTATGAATATGAAATATTTCTTACCCATTGATTATAATTTCAATTTTCTTCTCGAAACTTAAAAGCTATAGTGTGATTCAAATTAAAGTATATTTTCAAATTGCAACAGGTGATGGAATAAGAGTTTCCGGTGGTGTAAATCCTGATGGAAACGCAGGTGAAAATATTCTTGTGCCAGGACTAGGAGGCGGCACTGCATCAACTATCTCTTTATCGGCTGCATTCATAGTATTTTCTGTGTTATTTTCAATAGTATTGTAAGATATTCGAAAGGCGAAAAGCATCAGCTATATCTTTAGCAGCTGCATTTTCAATATTCGAATGCAAAATTCGTTAAAAAATGGTGTAAATAATTTTATTTATAAAACTTTTTATAAATGTATACAAAAATAGAATATATGTACAGTAATATGAAATAAATATATTTTATTTATAATTATAACATATATAAATACAATTTAAATTTAATATTTGGTGTTGGTCATTGGATTATTTTGTTTCAGTATAAAATTATGTTAATCTACCAAAATATTTTGCTCGTTTACAAATCTTTAATAGCTCTTCCCATTGCACTATAATGTCGTCAGCAAATACATTTAAGATCTTACCAGTCAAAGAAATACTTTTTACACGGCAAAAACTTTCAATAAATACAATTTTCAAATTTTTGTTCAGATAAAATACTTTACACAAAAAACCAATTACACATAAAGGCACACAAGTACCGGGTCCATTACACAATATCAAATCAGGATTAGTTTTTATCAGAATAGGAACACACATAATCGTGGAGTATATTGTAGTAAAAATTGATGTAAAATAGCTCTGTAAGACTTTTCGACTTCTTGCTATTTTGATTATAGAATATTGCTTAGAAGAATGTGGCAATTGCTTTTCTGCTTCGTGGATTTTTGTTTCACTTGTAGTATCAGTGTTTGCCATTACATAAATTCTTGGGCTATAACTTTGGGGGTTTAAACTTTTCACAATTATTAACATTTCGGTTGTATGTCCACCTGAGCCAATGCATATCATAGTTTTTGCAGGCTCTTTTCGTGAATGACTCTCATTGTAAGATTTGGAGTAATGAATATTAAATATAATATACAAACATCTAGTTATAATGAAGAAGAGGAAAAACACTAAAAGTATGAGTAACATTGTGATAATGTATTAACTTTTTCATAACATTAAATGTATATAAAAATTAATGCACATACGGCAATTTACAAACTCTGGCTGGTGTTACGTATGCATATAAACACATATATAATTTATCTATTGTACAAATATAAATATGTTTATTGCAAATTGTGTTTGACAGTTAATTCGCATTTAACAGTGAACCCTTTTGACAGTTCGGTTTATTATCTCAGAACAAAACCCGATAACTTAATTTAGTTAAGGTCCTAGACAATATTAGAATACCCTGTGTTCATAATTATATATCTAAAAGCGTATAAAGCGATATATAAATGTATATATTGATATTCCTTCAAAACCGGGTCCATAATTATATATATTTGCGTATAAAGTAATCCAATGGGAATCCACTAATACTCCTTAGTTCGTAAGGCGATTGCATGCAGCGCCTCTATGCAAAATTGTTCCCAATTTTTGAGGAACTACGAAGCGACTTCATATGAATATAATGCATATGAAGGAATCCAATAGGAATCCACTAAGATTCCTATCATATTCCTATGTTTCTAAGGCAATTGCATGCAGCGCCTCTATGCAAAATCGTTCCCAAATCGTGAGGAACTACGTAGTGACTACCGGGTTCATATTGTTCTGTGTTAGATGTCGCCACCGACCTAACCGTCAAACTTTTGACAGTTCTTCGACGACCAGTAAATAATGGCCTCATAGATAAAAGAAGAGTATTGGCCTATTGTGTGGAAATTGAATAATTAAATTTATATATTGATTTAAACATAATTATATGTGCGATCCACTAGTTAATTTTAGTCTAAGTTAAATTATATTGTCAGTGCAAGGTTAGGTTATGTTGTATCATTGTCATTCACGACGTTGACGTGTCGATTGACAGTTCAGGCTTATAAAATAAAAATATGTTTAAACATATAGTGCAATTAGATGTTTGAGGATTATATTGTTGAAGGATATTCGAATTAGTATAACTTATCCTTCATGCAATTTTTATAGAACAATTTCTTGCTTCAAATCAAATTTACAATCATGGAGACTGGAAAAGTATTTAAGTTATTATTTCCCCATGGGTGTCCAGGTAAATACTATTTTTCATTTATTTATTTATCTTTTTTATTTATTTATTTATTTATATATTATTTATATATTATTTTCATATCTAAGTCAGACAGGGGTATCTGGTATGAAAGATTATGAAACAATTTTCTTATTTTATATATACATATCATTTGTCTATTTCATTATACTACAATATAATATTTATTATAATTAAAATATCTATCCGACCTTCAATTTCCTTATCATATTTCTTTATTTTTTTTTAAATATGCCCTTATAATTGGTCAACTTAATATCGTTTGGCAAGTCATTATATATTTTACTGGCGCTCCATATGACATTTCCTCTCAATTTCTTCTTTCTTTCGTGTTCAATGCGAAAATTGTTTTGTTGTCTAGTGTAGTGTTCGTGTATATCTTGATTTATGTCTATTGTTGTACTTGTTTTAATTTTGTTATATTTCATTTTGTGTATTAATTTGCATTTCTCTATTTTTATTATGTTGTTTAGTGAATGAATATTTGTTTCTGTTTGTAAGTATTTGGTGGGTGTTAAGTGTGGAAAATTATACAATATTTTTATGGCTTTGTTCATTATTCTCTTTATATCATTTAAGTTAGCTTTAGTTGTTTGACCCCAAGATATTTATTCCATATAACATTATGGGTATTATATGCACTTTTAAAATAAATACCTTATTTTTTTTCTTGAAAGAATGAATCCTTTTTAAAGCTCCTGTTAATGCCGCTATCTTCTTTCTAATTTCATTTATATGTTTTGTCCATGTTAGCTTTTCGTGTATTATAAGGCCCAAGTATTTCATATATTTCACTTCTTCTATATCTGTATTATTTATTTTAATGTTTATTCATTTACTAACTGTTAACTATTCAATGTATAACACTTCTACCATTTTAGATTCATTGCAAAATAATGCACAATTTACTGCATACCTAAATAAATTAGGCTCATGCACAGTTGATCAACTGCAGCGTGAAGAGCCTAGATTATCTGAAGAAAAAAAATTATTGATTCAACAGACTCAAGAACTTGCAATATCCAATTACAAAACCTTCATTCAAACAGCAGAATGCTCGAGAGAAATTTATAACGAGTTTAAATGTACAAAAGAGAACTTAGATTCATTATTGTCAAAAATTCCAGAATTTGCTACAAAATGTGATAATTTCATGACAACATCTAGTGATATTAATTCAGATCGATACTTGAATCAAATTACTTTGAATCATAGTTCAGAATTATTAGAAATTCTAGAGTTGCCAACTTTGATGGAAACTTGTATTCGTGAGGGTCAATTTGAAGAAGCTTTAGAACTGGCAGCTTATATTAAACGATTAGGAATGAAACATGGACACATTTTAATTGTCAAGGTATTTTGCAATCAAGATCAAAAATGATGTTTTATACTAATTCATTATCTCATTTATAGAGTATTGTGTCAGATATGGAAAAGTTGTGGCAACATATGCTTCAAAAGTTATTATCGTCATTAGGTACAGATTTAACTTTACCTAAATGCTTACAAATTGTGGGTTACTTGAGAAGAATGGAAGCATTTACAGAGCCAGAATTAAGAATTCGCTTTTTACAAGCTAGAGAAGAATGGTTAACTAATCTTCTCAGTGATATCCCCAAAGATGATGGTATACCAAAATATTTCTTTCTTCTTTTTATATTTGGTTTTAATTATACATTTCTACAGCTTCCCATCACTTAAGCAAGACTATTGAGCTTTCACGTATACATTTATTTAATATAGTAACCCAATACAAAGCAATATTTAATGATGATGATCAATACTCGTTTCCCAATAATAATCAAGTCAATATAAATAAATCATATATATTTTATGGCTGGTTGCATAAAAAGGTAATTAGTAGCTGTAATTTTATGATGTAAAAGTAGGCTTATTACTAGTATAACATTTTCCCTTATTATAGATTACACAAATTATTTATATCATGGAAAAAGATCTTGAGAAAGCCACATCGTCTTTGGATTCTCTCATTGGGCAGTGTATGTATTTTGGATTATCATTTAGCAGAGTAGGAGCAGATTTTCGTAGTCTTATGGCCCCGATAATATTGAAAACGATTTATAAAAAGTTCTATATTTCTTTGTCCCAAATAACTAAAAAGTTAAAAGATGATTTAGAAAATTTTACATTGATAAACAAACACTACTCTAACTCCAGAACTAAAGGCCAAGAAGGCTTGACTCCGCCACAAAGTTTGCTTGATTTTTATCCTTTAGCTGAATATTGTAACGGCTTACTTACAATATTTAATGAATTTCGATTGTGCACTCCTTTATCTCTTGTAGATAAAGTTACGACTGATATCCAAAACTCATTAATAGTTGTATCTGAATCGATTTTATCTTACTATAAAAGAGAACACAAAATTCTGACATCATCAGAAAAAGATAATTTCACAAATTTCTGTGTTTGTTATGCTTATGATTTGCTGCCTTATATACAAAAATGTCTTCATACGGTTTTTCCTTGTAATACTGTTGCTACATTTTTGGGCATAAGCATTTCCAATGTAGAAAATGAAGGAATAGGATATTTAGATACCAAATCTATTCTTGAAACTATAGATAATTTGCTACCTAAGAAATATGACGTACAAACTGATATTACAAATAATAAAACAGATGATGTTTAGGTATTATCCTCCTATTTGCTGAAACTATAAATATTTTTATAGTTTGCTAAAATTATTGCAAATAACAATTAGTTTACTTATGTTTTCAAATATGTTTATTTATATCGAATGTAATATGTGCAATATCAGACATATAAACATATAATGCCTTCAGAAAATAAAGTAAATATTTATATCAAAGGCAATGTTTTCATTGAGAAGTATTTCTTATAATAATTGAAATGAGCTTTTTGATAAGTTTCCAATATGAAATTTTCTTAAATATTGGTGTGTAATATGAATTCAGTACTTTTTAACTTTCCGTAGGGTAAGTTATTGTAATGGGCCAAAAATCGGAATTGAAAATTTTTACATTTCTCGACGTTTTGAAGGTTTCTGAACATTTTGGCATACTTCAGAAAAAATGGATGTGTGTGTGTGTCTATGTATGTATTGATACAAATTTCCAGTCACGTTTCCGGGACGCACGGATCAACCGATTTGAATGGTTCAAAAAACATTCGATTCCAATCGATAGGGAAAAGAGCTGATTAGTTTTTGGCAAAGGCAGGTCCAGCCGTTTCGGAGATACGGAGTAAAGAATGCAGAAAATAGAAATCGAGTTTTTGAAAGAACGGAGCATCCGATTTAAATGATCTAATCAACATTCAATTAGTAATGATTGGGAGAAGTGATTGTTAGTTTTTGGCTATGGCAGGCCCAGCCATTTCGAAGATACAAAGCTAAATGTGCAAAAAATGGCAGTTTTTGAGAGAACTAAGCGTCCAATTTAAATGATTCAAAAAACTTTCGGCTTCTTTTAACAAAATAATTGATTTTGGAAAAAAAATTCGTATTATTATTTTTTTTTTTTTTTTAGTTTTTTTGTATATCAAAAATAATTCATTTTATTTTTAATTCTGACTAAATTTCTAAGATACTGTAAACAAAAAATTTGAACTTTGCAATTCGGTTTATATAAATCTAAATATTAGACAATATTTATAATAATCTATTTGAAACCATTCAGTATTCCTTGAACATTTCGTTATGGGACGGAAAGTTTCAGCAATTTGCCTTAAGGCACGATGCCATAATTGCCTCAAGACAGAATTCCACTTACAGCTAGTTCTATATCAGCTTTGATCATAATTTACTTAAAACGTAATTAGATTATATATATCATAAAAAATCATCAGATTCATTAAGCAGCTACACTATCAAAATATGATTTTATTTCAAAGTCATTAAAGATCATAATAAGCTTGCATAATCATTAACACATTACAACTATAGCATTATTTAACTATTACAAGTTTTATTCAAAACATTTCAGAATGACTAGTTTGTTTTACAATTGAGAAGCGAAAGAAAGTTAATGCACAATTTCACCCGCTAATTTCTGAATTTTCAAAGGCAACAGATTCACAAGTTCCTTGCTAACTTCTAATTCAACGGATAGT